TCAACAAAATCTCAACAACTCATCAAAAAATCATAAATTATGATCAAACAAGATTCATTTCAGGGATACAAAGCTGGTTCATATACCCAAATCAATTAATATAATTCATCACATTAACAAGAGCAAGGATAAGAACCACATGATTATCTCAATAGATGCAGAAAAAGTATTTGACAAGATCCAACACCCCTTTATGATGAAAGCTCTGGAAAAACTAGGAATCCATGGAAAATTCCTCAATATAATAAAGTCTGTGTTTGGCAGACCTACAGCCAGCATTATACTTAATGGCGAAAAGCTAAAGCCATTTCCTCTAAATTTACAAACAAGACAAGGATGTCTGCTCTCTCCACTCCTCTTCAGTGTGGTATTAGAATGCCTAGCTAGAATAATAAGACAAGATGCAAATATAAAGGGGATCCAAATAGGGAAAGATGAAATAAAACTCTCCCTTTTTGTAGACGACATGACCTTGAATTTAAAGTATCCTATGGACTCCATTCCCAAGTTACTCAAGCTGATTCCAAACTTTGGCAAAGTAGCAGGGTGTAAAGGTAATCCTCAAAAATCAATGGCTTTTCTGTATGCCAAAAATGAGAAGAGTTCTTCTGAAATCAGGAAAGCAACTCCTTTTGTAATAGCCCTACAAAAAATAAAATACCTAGGAGTTAACTAAAGAAGTGAAGGATTCTATGATGAAAACTTTAAAAACCTGAAAAAGGAAATTAAAGCAGAATTAAGGAAGTGGATAAACCTCCCATGCTCCTGCATTGGAAGTATTAACATCAGGAAAATGGCAATACTTTCCAAGGTTATCTACAAATTGAATGCAATACCTTTTAATATCCAAACCTCATTCTTCAATGAAATAGAAGAAACAATCCAAAAATTCATATGGAATAATAAAAGACCCCGAATAGCAAACACAATCCTAAGCAGAAAGAACAGTGCTGGAGGATTATCAATACCAAATTTCAAACTGTACTACAAAGCCATAGTAATCAAAACAACTTGGTACTGGCACAAGAACAGACTAATCGACCAATGGAATAGAACTGAAAACCCAGAAATGAACCTACAGACCTATAGCCACCTAATCTTTGATAAGGGAGCTAAAAAATAGAATGGAACAAAGAGCCTCTTCAGTAAATGGTGCTGGCAAAATTTGTCAAACATCTATAGAAAACTAAAGCTAGATCCTTACATATCCAGAATCAATTTCAAATGGATCAAAGACCTGGAAGTCAAAGCAGATATCCTGAAAATATTACAGGAAGGAATAGGAGAAACTCTAGGCTCCTTGGCACAGGCTGAAGTTTTCTTAGTAAAGACCCAGAAACATAACAAATCAAAGAAAGGTTGGACAAATGGGATTGCATGAAACTGCAGAGCTTCTGCATTGCAAAGACATAGCTAGTAAGATCAATAGAAAGCCCACAGAAGGGGAGAAGATCTTCAACAGACAAGTGTCTCATAGCTAAAACATACTTAGAATCAAAAAATTACATCCTCCAAAAACAAATCCTAAAGAAACAACCACCCCATCAACAAGTGGGCTAAAGACTTAAAGAGAGACTTCTCTGAAGAGGAAATAAGAATGGCCAAAAGACACATGAAGAAATGCTCAACTTCTCTGGCCATAAAAGAAATGCAAATCAAAACAACACTGAGGTTCCACCTCACTCCAGTTAGAATGGCTATAATCAAGAATTCTAAAAACAGCAGATGCTGGGGGGATGTGGCCAGAAGGGAATCCTACTGCATTGTTGGTGGGAGTGTAAACTTGATCAGCCACTCTGGAAAGCAGTGTGGAGTTTCCTCAAAAGACTACACATAGAGCTCCCCTATGACCCAGCAATCCCACTTTTGGGCATATATACAAATGAAAACAAACAAGGCCATACTAAACTACCAGCACAACTATGTTTATTGCAGCATTATTTACCATAGCTAAGATAGATGAGTAGATCAAGAAAAGGTGGTAGATTGGGCTGGGAAGGTGGCTCAGTGGTAGAGCGCTTGCCTTGCATGCTCGATTCCTCAGCGTCACATAAGCAAAAAAGAAAAAAAACCAGAAGTGGTGCTGTGGCTCAAGTGGTAGAGCGCTAGCCTTGAGCTGAATTGCTGAGGGACAGCGCCCAGGCCCAGAGTTCAGGCCCCACGACCGGATCCCCCCTAAAAAAAAGAAAAGAAAAGGTGGTGTGTGTGTGTGTATATATATATATGTGATGGAATTCTATGCCTCTATCAGAAAGAACAACACCACCTCATTCATTAGAAAATGGAAAGACTTGGAAAAAATTACCTAGTCCCAAAGAAATTTAGGTCCCATGGTTTTCCTCATTTGCAATAATTAGTATATGTATAAGATAATCTTATCAGATGAGCTGAAAAGTTTGAAAGCTTTGTACATATGACAGTATAAGATGATGCTAAGTGAAATGAACTCTAAGATATGGACACAAGAGTCCTGTCTTTGTTGTTGTTGTTTTAAATGTACTATGTGATTTTTTTTGTTTCCTTCGTATGTTCTTTCTCTTATGGCATATCCCCTGTATTTTATTCCTATGGCCTGCATCTTTTATATACATTTTTCTAATTTTGGAAAGGGAAGGGAAATAACAAAATGCTGACAATGGGATACAGGTTGACCTACTGTAACAATGAAATGTAGAAGACACTATGTTGAAAACGAGCTTTACAACTTGGTGGGAGGGAAGAGATGTTAGAGGAAACACAAAGGAGGAAGGGAGGAAGTAACAATGCTCAATAGGAAATGTACTCATATAACTGGAACCTCTCTGTACTCTATCTTTACAATAAAAAATATATCTATAAAGAAAAGGAATAACCACTATTAAAAAAAAGGAGGCAGATGATCACAATTTTAATGCCAGCCAAGGCCGCAGAGAGTTTTAGGCCAGCCCATATAAAATTAAAAAAATAAGAGCCTTCTTACAGATCAAGTTTTACTGTGTTGTTATTTTGTGGACATGACACACAAAATTTGCTAGGGAGAGAATAAATGATGCTACTGAATTTCATCATCTTTTTTCTCATGAAGTAGTGTAGGTAATTTGCACGATGGCCCTGAGGTGAGCATTAGGATCAGGATCTAGATCTAATTTCCCAGAGGAACTCCCTCCCCCTCCTCCTCCCCTTCCTCCTCCTTTTCCCCCTCCTCCCTTCTCCTCCTCCTCCTCCTCCTTCCCCCCTCCTTTTCCTTCTCTTCTTTCTCCTCTTTCTTCTCCTCCTCCTCCTCCTTTCTTCATTGTTGTTAGTGCTGAGGATGGTGCTTGGCTTTTTTGCTCAAGGCTAGTAACTCTATCACTTGAGTCACACCTCCACTTCTGGCTTTTTGATGGTTATTTGGATATAAAAATCGTTAGAATTTATCTGTCCAGCCTAACTTTGAAATTCAATCCTTAGGTCTGTCCTGAGTCCTTAGGATTGTAAGTGTGAGCCACTGACCTCTGACCAAAGCCCATTTCCCCCCTGCATTATTCTCTATTGGGGCTCCTCTATGACCTCCACTCAAAAATTATTTTCTTGGTATGAGTTGTAGTTTAGAGAAGTACAGTCTTGCCTAATGTGTATGAGGCTCTGGGTTCAAACTCCAGAGCTGCGAAAAATTAGCAGACCTTGCTACTATCACATAACAAAGATACAATGTCTCAGTGCCTCTGATCATATATCATTTATCAAAATGAAAAAATTACATAATGAGATCACATGCTCTATTCTTATCTGTTCTTTTTATTCATCTTGAATTATCTGGAAACTCCAAATGATACTTTAGCAAAGTAAAAACAAAAAATAAAAAAACATCAGCTAAGGGGAAAACTTAAACTACATTTTAGATGATATATTTGATGGACCCAGCCCACGGCCTGGTCTAGGTTGTACTAGATAAATATTAGTTTCTCTTTTGTTCACTCATGAGACGTAAGGCTAAGAGAATTTTGATGCAAGTTGTTAGTCTGTGCTTGTGCATTTGAAGGAGAACAATGTTTGGATAAGATAGCACAAAAGACTCCTTTAACCAAATCTGATCCAAAGGCCCAAATAATCAGACCCTTATTGGCAACATAATTAACAGAGAAAGGTGAAACATGAGATGAAGCCTAATTGATGACAAAAATGCTTATACATGAAATAAACATGAAAAATGTCCCAGGGGCGTAAATTCCTCTTATTATCAAACATGATCTCTAGTCCTTTATAGGGTTCATTATACTCAGAAAGACCAGCACTTAAAGGACTGAAGTCCAAAACTAACACAAAACAAATGAATTATTTTATTTTAATTTACTTTTTGGTCACTGAAGCTCAGGGCCTAGCCCCTGTCCCTTGCCTTGTTCTTGCTCAAGGCTGGTGCTCAACCATTTGAATCACAGATTCACTTCCAGTAATTTGGTAGCTAATTGGAAATGAGAGTCTCATGGACTTTCCTGCCCAGGCTGGCTTTGAACCATAATCCTCAGATCTCAGTCTCCTGAGTTGCTATAATTACTGGTGTGAGTCTCCAAGGCCCAGCTTGAATTCCATGCTTTTTATGATGACATATTTTATAAAGTTTTCTAACAAGGGTAAGTCTTGTTTAGTCACAAAACTCAGTGCATCTGCTATTAGTGCCTAGCATGTATTTTAGCTGGGCAGGAACTCAGCAAATGGATGTGGGTGAGTTGGCAGGACTCTAAAGCACCAGACTTTGCAGTCCTCCCTGAGTCCCCTTTGTCTAGGATTTCTGACTGCCTTTCTCCACCTTTCATGAGCAAAGAGGCGAATTGAGATCTAGGATGACAGGAAGCATGATGGCTCAGCTGACCTTACACTGAGTCAGCTTTATGTGCCCTTCGTGTCGGCCTGGATCTCTGACACTCAGAACAGATGTGGCACGTCCTGTAAATGTTTTTCTTTCACAGAAGGTACACGTGGGTGGTTGTGGGCTTCTGATAATTTGAAGGTCTGATTTGTGCAGCTGTGTGGTAACTCTGTTTTCTGCCTAGAAAAAGGAATTGAAGTGTTTTAATCATGCTGACCAGCAAGGGCTGGGGATTCCTTCATTTAGATTTGTGTCTCTTGCTGTATACGTCCACGCCTTCATTTAAAGGTAGGTTATTTTTGCTTATCTCTCTTAACCTTTCCAGCTCTATGTATTTACTCATTTTTCTTGATGTAGTTGAACAAGCAGATGTGAAAGATTCTAGGTAAATACAGATTTCAATAAAGAGTCTAGGTAAATTCTGGTGTGTTCATAGGAAGCACAGCTGTTACAACTGCTGGGTAACTTGTTTTTTATTAGTTATTTTTAAACACGTCAGATGAGATTAGGAAAATGGAATGGAATGGAACATGCTGTAAATTACATTTTTTATTTTTCTCATTAAAATGTGGTTTCCCTATGAGAATATAATAAGAATGCATTTTTATTTATGTCTGTTATGGTTATACTCCAATTATTTATTTGCACTTACATTTAACATATTTTTCAAAACCTTGACTTATTCATTAACTGATATTGTTCTGCAGCTTGTGAACCTGTCCACTCTGTAGGCAAAACTCTTTGTTTTGGGAAACATGCTATACATTACTGAAATAAAATCTAAGAGTAGGACCATTTATTTCAGTTAAGAGTTAGAAACTGGGGGGGGGATATGGGAAGGGATGGGAAGGGGAAACAAAGGAGGAGGCAACAATGCTTGATAAGAAATGTACTCATTACCTTGCCCATGTAATTGTAACCCCTCTGTACGGTATTTTCACAATTAAATTTTTTTTTAAAAAAAGAGAAACTGCTGTTGTGCCAGGCAAAATTCACATGAGTTATGAGACTAGCCAGAGCTTTTCAAGACTACTGGAAGGTTTAACAAAAATGTTGCAAAGAAGAGAAAGTGGGAAAGGCAGAGGATTTTTTTCATTGTTTTCTGTGAAATATTTTTATCATTAGTAATTACAAAAGCAAGAATGATGTCTTACCTTTAAAATTCCTTTCTTGCCGAGATCCTAGTGTTTAAATTTATCCAAATACACTTGACAAACAACTCTTTCTTGTAGTAATGCTAGTGAACCGGTTCATTTTTGCCTTGATAGGCTTTCCAAACTCCCATATTTATTGTTCTTTCAAGGTACCAATCTCTTTGGGAAATTCATGGAATAATATATCAGGTGTCCAATTAGAGTTCTATAAAGGGATACAGAGAAAATGTGTATCAATGGGGTTGTAACAAAATGCATTCTGTCAGGGGATGGCACAAAGCTTACTTTTAACACATTCTTAGAAGAGAACAAGGACAGGTGTTGGGTGCTACTGTCCAGAATTTAGTGAGTGAAAATGCCATTATCTAAGATAACATTATTTGAAGTGGATTTTGCCTTTAAAACCTTGCATTCACATAAATCTCCAAAATGCATGTTAAAGTTTGTTTACAAAAGGAGTATGGATTGTGAAGCCTACTGTAAGCATGAGCTGCTTAACTTGTCTGTCAAAGTTTCCATTGCAGAATCTTGCTGGTGGGAGGCAGAGATGTCAATGTGGAGAATGTGGACAAAACTGAAAAGATTCTAGTTCACTGGCAATATTGCAGAGTTACATTTAGTGACAAAGAGAAAATTCCAAGTTTTGTGTCTATGCCCGGCCATGTGCAGTGTGTTAAACTTTAAAAATAACTCAGGGAAAAACAGGGAAAAAAAACCAACAAAAACCAAAAACCAACCTACTCTTCCAGAGTTTTTCCTTTGATATATTTTTACTTTGATCACCTTTTTTTTCTTGTGCCAGTTGTGGGGCTTGAACTCAGGGCCTACGTGCTATCCTTTAGCTTTTTTCATCCTTTTATTACTCAAGGCTGGCGCTCTACCACTTGAGCCATAATTCTACTTCTGGATTTGGAGCGGTTAATTAGAGATAAGAATCTTTGCCCAGGCTTGTTTCCAACTGTTATCCTCAGATCTCAGCTTCCTAAGTAGCTAGGATTATAAGCAAAGACATGAGCCACCAGTGCCAGATGATGATGATGATGATAATGATGATGATGATGATAATGATAATAATAATAGTTATTATTATTATTTTCTTTGATACTGTGTGCTGGATTCTGGAACAGACCCCTGAAGGAGTCCAGGGAGGTTAGGAGGGATGGGCAGAGGATGGAACCCTCCCCGGCCACCTCCGGACCTGGGGCTAAGGCAGAAGCTTCTGGGTGATTGCTTCCTTGTCTTCCTTCTGCCCCATCCCCAGGTTGCGTAGGCTGTGCCTCTGAAGAGAGACTCTTCCACAAGCTGTTTGCCCATTATAACCGGTTCATCAGGCCTGTGGAAAATGTTTCTGACCCCGTCACGGTGCATTTTGAAGTGGCCATCACACAGTTGACCAACGTGGTGAGTGCCACCCATCCAGATGCATTTCTCAGGAGTTGGGACGCTGGAGGAGGGCACAGCAAGCTCCAACGTTGTTGTATGCTGTAAATACAGGAGTTTTAAACTTAGCAATAAATACAAGTCTAAACTCACTGGTCCTTCACAGCCCTGGTTTGGGAGGGGACAGCAAGGCTGTACTTATGGTAAGCCCCTGCTATTAGAAGTATCTCATAACCAGTTCGTGAAACAAAGATGAAGGCAAGTTGAAGGGAGAATTGAAAGGTGCTAATCTTTTCTGTATGTGTGCTGCTCCTCTGGGTTGAACTCAGGGAATAGGCATTGTTCCTTAGTTTTTTTTTTTCCATAGGCTGTTTTTCTATTACTTGAGCTTCGGGCTTTTGGGTCATTAATTGGAGATAAGAGTTTCATGGCTGGTCTCCAACCTCAACCCTCAGATCTCAGTCTTCTGAGAAGCTAGGATTTACAGGTGTGAGCTCCTGGAACCAGTCTAAAAGATTGTGCATCTCTTCTGTACTGTGTCATCTTCCTTCTGAAAATTCGGAAGCTCAATTATATGACTTTCCCAGAGTCACAACTGCAAAATAAGGAAACAGTTTTAAGTGAAGGCTGCTCAATTACAATGCCCACATAGATTTTTTTTGCCCCCTGCGCCTAGGTTAAAACTCAGGGCCTTGAACTTGCTTGCTCATACTCCACCATTTGAGACACTGTTTGCTCAGCCCTTTTTGCTTTAGTTGCTTCTCAAATAGGATCTTAAATTTTTTCGTGAGTCACTTTGAGCTCAGTCCTCCATTTACATGTTCTGTGTAACTAACATGACAAGCACACACCACCATGCCTGGATGCTTTGTTGAGATAGGGGTCTCATGAACTTTTTGCATGGGCTGACCACACACTATGATCCACCAGAACTGTGCTGCCCAAGTACCTAGGATTATAAACAAAGTCATGTTCTTTATGCTTGGTAGAGAAAGAATTGCTGTAATGTTTCCATGTTATGTAAGAGATAAAACATTTGCTTTTTTTCATATATGGTTTCATCCAATACCAAATAAAACAGAGCCTGGGAATTTGAAGAATTAAAAAAGTTGATTGCAATCATGTTCAAAGGCAAGTAGGATTAGATTTAAAAATAATAATCTTTATTCTTTGTTGTGGGGCTGGGGAAGGGATAGAGCAACCTGCTTTCCTAAATAGTAGAGCAGAAGTCTGAACTCCAGTGCTTGGCATGGGAAGGGACAGGGCTGGTCTGAAGCTCAAGGCTCAGGCTGAGTTCCAGGAAGAGGCAGACTTAGGAAGAAAAGAGAATCTAGAGCACCACTGGAGGTGGGTTAGAAAGAGTTGCTGCCATCCACCAGGCCATTCATGGACAGGGAAGGGGCCTCCTTCTGGCCATTGTCCTGCACTTCTCTAGGCACACGTGGGGAAAGGCCTTATACAGATGTAAGTTGCTCTCCATCAGGCTGTTCCAGTCCATGCTTTCCTGAGAGGTGTTGCTGACCTACTCAGGTCTTTGGCTTCTGGCACTGCCTAGATATGTGTGTATGCTGCTAGATATTGATTTTATTTAGTCATTTTGATCACCTGGACTTTGTCATTTAACAAATCAGTTTATGGATACAATGCATATTGATCAATGTCATGGCTTCCAACATTCTCCTTACCCCCTTCCCTCCCATTTTTTTAAAAACAGATATTTTTATTAACATATTTTAGTTGTATAGGGGAGTTTCATGGTGACATTTTAATACAAGAATATAATTTACTTCATTGCCCTCACTTAATCATTCTTCCTCATCCACTCTCCTTCCTAAAAGAATTTTAACTTATTTCATTGCACTGTTTTTGTAAATGCTTCTATAGTACTTTGACAGAAAGAGAATAAACCTAGTCAATATTAATTGTTTGCATGTACAAGAACAAAACAATGAAACGTGTCCAAACTATTTTACATCATGGAGAAGGGAGGGTGCCATACTGAATAGAATAAATCATAAGCATATATGAAAATGTCATAATGAAATCCTAAGTATACAACTAATGTATATACTTTCTTTTGTTCCTGTCTTTGAACTGTCCTTGACTTTTAATTTTTTCCCCTCTAGGCTTGCTCTCTACCACTTGAACCACATTATTTTGATTAATTTATTGGAGATTATGGATTTTCTGTCCAGGTTCGCTTTAATCCCTGATCCTCAGGTTCTAGATTCCTGACAAGCTAGTATTGCAGGCATGAGCCACCAGCATATGGTTATGTATATACTTTTTTTTCAGAGTTCATATCTTTATTTTATATATATATTGAAAATACTGTACAGAAGGGTTACAATTACATGGGTAAGATAATGAGCACATTTCTTATCAAGCATTGTAGCCTCCTCCTTAGTTTCCCCTTCCCATCCCTTCATATCCTCCCCCCCAATTCCCTCCACCAAAGTTGTAAAGTTCGTTTTTCAACATAATGACTTGTACACCTCATTGTTGCAATGGGTCCTCCTGTATCCCTGTTTTAACCATTTGTTTTTTCCCTTCCCCTCCACATATACCAACATCATATATAGTGAAAGCAGGGGTTTGTATATACTTTTTATATGTACATTTTCCACTCAGTCATCCTCACCATTTTCTCTACCTCTACCACTGGGGTCATCTTCCAACAGACTGTTTCCTATATGCTATTATTATTATATTAGTACTTTGAAATCTGTCTGTTAAGTCTGATATCTGACTTCTCTCAGAATAGTAGGATATACATTGAATTCTTGGCTGCACTCTTCCCTGATCCCCACTTCTCCTCTTCATTAGTCTGTCTCTTTCCCTATGACCCCACTCCACCTCTTTCAAGTATTGTTTCCTGGTATTTACTTTGTTGAACTTTGACTTTGCCTTTTTAAGGGTTTACACTGAGTTCTCCCTTAAATCTATTATATTTCAGTCAATACATTTGTATTCACTTGCATACCACCTAATGTATTTAATTCATAGGCTAATTCTGTAGATATTGATTTTTAAAAGAAAAAGCCTAATATTTCTTCTCATCTACCTGGACATACTCATTCCATTAAAAACCATGTATTTAGTATCTATTCTGATTCCTTCCTACATCCCCTCCCATACACACACATCTTAATTTTTAAAATTTAATTTTACTTTGTTGTAAAGGTACTATACAGAGGCTACAGTTTCATAAGTTTCATTTCTTATCAAACATTCTTACCAACTATTTTTCTCCCACTATCCCTCCTTCCCCACTCCACCCCCAACCCTTCCCTACACATCATAATTTTTGTTACTGACTTTGTACTGGGCTAGAAGCACACTTGTTGTGATTGAGTCTGAGAGGACCACCTTACCATACTGTTTTACTTCAAATCCTTGGTTCATTTACCTTTTAGGACATTATTTTGGAGAGGATAGGCAGAGATTGTTGAAGGCAGATTTTGACATTTACCTTTGGCTTCTAGTATTGGATAGCCCTCTTAAAAATATAGATCTAGAGAGATAGAGGGAGAAGGAGGGAAAGAAGGAGGAAAGGAGAGAGGGAAGGAATAAGGAAGAAAGGAATTAGTTTTATTTCCTTTTCTTTAACAGAAATCTGAAGTTTTCACAGTCCAGACGTTAGCACAAGGTAGCTTCATGTATCCAGTAGGAATGTCACTCACATGACTACGATGATGAAAGAATAAACCAACATGGCAGCAGTAATCAAGTTTCCTTCTGTCTTTCTATTTTGCCATTTTGCCTATAATTTCTTCTCTTAGCATTGCTGAATAATCAAAAAATTGCTATATTTGCTCTCACTATGTTTATATTATTGGAAAGAAGCAGAAAGAAGGGGAAAAGGGGAAGGGGCACAAATCAGACAACCTGTGAATCCTTCAAGGAACTTTCTTAAGTTCTCTTGACAGCTTCAGTTCTCTTCCCTTCCTCTAGCTGCAGGAGGAACTTGGGAAATGTAGCTTTATTAAAGACAATTTTTTTTTTTGCCATTCCTGGGGCTTGAACTTAAGGCCTGGGCACTGTTCCCGAGCTTGCTTTTGCTCAAGGCTAGCACTCTACCACTTGAGCCACAGCTACACTTCCAGATTTTTCTGTTTATGTTGTGCTGAGGAATAGAACCCAAAGTTTCATGTGTGCTTGGTAAGCACATACCACTAAGCCACATTCCAAGTCTATTAAAGAGAAATTTGTATGGTAATAATTATAGATCCAGAGTTATAATAAATTATAGAGATTCCTTGCATGTTTTACCCAGTTTTCCCACCACTAATCTTCCTTCCACTTCTTAGATGTTCAAAGATGTTATATATGAAGGAAACCATTGACAATGTAGTCTTGGGGTACTGGCCTTCCTATTCATCTTTCTGATATACAGCTCCAAGTGTTAGTTGACATGAGCTGGGGGGGGCGGTTCTTTCCTAAGTTAAATGTCTGCATGGCATCACATAGCATGGCTTGTTCAACCATTAACTTGCTGGGGGACATTTGGGCTAATTCCAATTTTCAATCTATGACAAAGCTTCTATGAACATTTGCATAGATTATGTAAATATAATCTTTTTATTTCTAGAATAAAGACCCAGGATTAAAGTACTGGGTCTTGTGGAAGTTGTCAGGTGAGCTTTGGGAGTAACCCTGTGAGGCAGTTCAACAAGAATGTTGGAGCCTTATTACCATCTAGAAAGTCTCTCTGTCCCCTGCTTCTGTTGAACTCTTGGTTTAGTTTTACAGCTTCAGAGAACACTCCATGGAAGTGTGTTTACTGCCATGCAAGATAATCTTGGCCACAAAGGCTTGGCAATAGATGATCTGTAAGTGTAGGTACATGCCCACTGGCCCTGTGCAGGAACCCAGTCTAACGCCCCTTCCCAATATTTTTGATAGCTTGGTATAGGAGAAATGATGAACTTAAAGGTTTTATAAAAATGAAACACACCTGGCCTTTTCTCATCAACTTTTTCAACCTACTGCTGCTGGCCCAGCAAAGAATCCATTTGATTTGTGACTTGAAAGTTTCAATGTACCTAGGTGTTGACTAACTTATTTTCCCAAGAAAGAGATGAGGGCAATGACCACAAGAATATAGTACTGCAGGTCTCTGGTCTCCTCCTGTGGGACTGAGTGTACAACACTCATCTATTGGTGTGTATGATCGAGAGTTGAGTCAGTTGAGATCCTGATCCATAAGGTTGGCTGCTACCTCCAAGGGTGTCTCCATGGTCACTATTGACCAGGCCCATACAACATGGGCCTTCTCCAGCCTGTGCAAGTGGAGCAGGGCGTCGGGGCTAGTGCAGAATGGTATTGTTAACCAATTCCAACTCCCTGAACAAGTGCAGAGAGGAAGCAGGCTTTGGTTGGGGCTTATGCCAGTTACCTCTGAAATCTTGGAATTAAGATTTAGATAGTCCTGAATAATAGATCATGGATTTGTTGACATGGCTCTGATATACTCTGAAGAGCCAAAGTGATTCTCATGGCCAAAAGTCCTTGACCTTAGGATCAAGTAACTGTAAAGCTTTGTTGGCCGCTGCTTGGCCCATTTCTTTGTTTTCTTTGACCAATAAAAAACCATGATTGTAACTCCTTTTACTGGCCTTTTGTAAACCACAGGGCTCACCATGGGTTGAAACAAGCCATTAGGAGGAAGTTTACCAAGGTCTCCCTTCAGAGTTGTTCAGGCCAGGCAGCAGTGAGCATGAGATGAAAGAGTAGACGGCCATATTGCTTCTCAGCACAGCAGAGCAGGCATGTGTGAGCCCTGCCACAGCTCACTCAACCACAGCTGAGTTACTTCACTCTGAAGTAGGCTTGGGTGTCTTGCAAAGCAAGCTTTGGTAATTTCTTGCTGGCCACTGAGAAGCTGTTATCAGCTGCCTAGCTGTTATGTTTTAAAGACCATTATATATGAGACTTTGGTTGCAATCACCCGAGAGTCAGCAGTTTCTTAGCAATTCAGGATCTAGAGGATGCTGGCCTGAAATTCCTGTCTTCTACCTACCCCTGACTTTCTTTAGGCCATTTAGGTAATGCTTAGATACTACCACTACAGAGAAATCTTGTCTAAAATAGACTTATGTGGGCATTCCATGCATGGGCCACTCCAGCCCCCCTTTTCTTCATACACTTATCTCTATTTAATATTATATTGCATTTTATATTTATATATGTACGTATTATTAGTTTATGTCTCCTGCTAATTCAGGGCCTGGTCACTGACCCTGAGCTTTTTTGCTCAAGGCTATTGCTCTATCACTTCAGCTATATATATAGCTCTATTTTCAGCTTTTTTGGTAGTAATTGTAGATAAAAGTCTCATGGACTTTCCTGCCTGGGTTGGCTCTGAAATACTATGCTCAGATTTCAGCCTTCTTAGTGGCTAGGGTTACAGATATGACCCATGGTGCCCAGCTACACCTCAGCTTTTGTGAAACACACACAGTGGTCTCAGTAAATATTTGTATCATTTATGACGGAAGTGCTGCTCCAATGGGGGCAGGGTGCATAGTAGGTGTGTACAGGATACCAGTTGATGAACTCAGGTTAGATCCTGGGAGAAAAATGCTCAGGAAGCATAGCCCAGAAAGTCCTGGGGCACAATTAAAGAGATTTTAAGGCATATGCACACATGATGAGCAGGGTTTAGATACCTGTTACTATCTGCAGGATTTACCCTTTCTCTTTCCCAAATGTTTCTCTTCTCATTTCTCTTTATAAAATCTTCATGAAGTAGACTATGGTGGTCACACAGCCTTCACCAAGGAGGTGAGACTTAAATCAACTTTGAAAGAGAGTTTAAAGCCTCATTTCCACTAGACATTGCAGTATATACCTGTAATCTAGCACTTGGGAGGCTGAAACAGAATTTAGGATTGAGATTTTAAGACCTGTCTGGGGTACATAGTAAGATCCTGTCTCAAAAATAAAATGAGAGCTGGGATCATGGCTGAAGGTAGTGTGGTACTAGGTACTAGATACATGGTTATATAGAAAGTGCCTGCCTAGAAAGTGCAGGGGTATGAGTTCAAACTTTAGTGCTTTATAAAACAAGCATACAAATATCAAATGGTAAACAAAAGCTCCACATTTCCTTTGCAAGTCTACAGCATTGGAACCAGGTGTGGAGATAAACATGTATTGCAGTTTGCACACTAAATATTTCTCATAAGTTGCCTTTTTGATCTTATTGGTTTCAACTATTAGCGTGCATAATTCAGGTTTGTCTATACTTTTGCTCTAAGACCCACCTGTGTTAGGAAGTATATCTAACACTGAAAATATTATTTCTTCTTCCCAGGATGAAGTAAACCAGATTATGGAAACCAATCTATGGCTGCGTCACGTATGTGTCTCCATCATGTCTCATTGAATGATAGGTCTTGAACATCCACTCAGCAATATCAGTTAGATCACAACCTTAGCATTACCTCTTCCTGTCTCCAACTTGTGATAGATATAGGACATTGTCCTCCTGGTCACCACCAACGCCTCATTTGGCTCTGATAACAGCTCAGTCTATGGAGCTGAATGGAGAATAAGGACAAGCCTAGTGACAGAGATATCTGTCCTTTCCGTTCTTTGCTTACACATATCTGATTTTATTTTACTTTTAATTAGCATATATTAATAGGACAAAGGAGCTTCATTATGCATCCATAGATGCACATAATATGCTTTAAGAAAGTTTACTTCCTCTACTATAATTATATTATCATGCACTCCTTCCTTACTTTTTCAAAAAAGTATTTGGTATTTATGTGGGTATATCAGCATATATGCATGCATATATACACATATATGTAATACATTTGAACAATCTTTACTCCTCAGTATACTTTCCTTTCCCCTTAAGCCCTCCATGAATCTCCTTCCCTGACAGCCCCCTTTCTACATTCATGTTCTATTATTTATTAATATAATTGTTGTTACTCTCACCCATCATTTTAACCCCCTCCATTTTCTACCAGTTTTTTTTCCTTCACAACCTCCCACCCCCAAGTTGTATAGCTCATTTCAAATATAGCATCTAGTGAGTATCACTGTTAAATTGGCTCACCCTTTGTCCCACTGTTTCTGTGCTTCCTCTTTCCTCCTAAAAATCAAATAAACATATATATATATATGTACACACACATATATGACAAAGAGTGCAGAAATCAAAAACAGTGACAAAAGGGGATAAACTGAAGGGGAAAAATAATAACTGCAAACAGTACATTAAAAAAACCCTTGTTTCCATTTCTTGGAGTTCATGTTGATAAGCATCTCTTTTTTGTTGTTGTTGTTGGTCATGGAGCTTGAACTCCAGGCGTGGGCACTATCCCTGAGCTCTTCAGCTCAAGGCAAGTGCTCTACCATTTGAGTCACAGCTCTACTTGCGGTTTTCTGATGGTAATTGGAGATATGAGTCTCATGGACTTTCCTGCCTGGGCTGGCTTTGAACTGCAATCCTTAGATCTCAGCCTCCTGAGTAGCTAGGATTGCAGGAGTGAGCCATTAGCACCTGGCTTGATAATCATCATTTTATATGGTCATATGCACATAGCCATTGAGCCCTTATGATTCTATCCTAAGAATATCCTTTGGCCTCATTATGTGAATGTTTAGAGTCCTATTTAATTTATCATGTCCAAGGATAATTATTTGTCTTTTACTATCCATTAGATTTACTTGTAGATTTATAGGCACATTCTAATTATTACAAATGAGGGAAACCGTGCAAACTGTATTTCTTTGGGTCTGGCTTACTTCACTTAATTTAAGTTTTTCCAAGTCTTTCCATTTCCTTATGAATGGGGCAATGTCATTCTTTCTGATAGAATCATGGAACTCCATTGTGTATATATACCATTTTCTTGATCTATTTGTTGACTGATGGGCAATTGGGTTGATTCCATATCTTAGCTATGGTAAATAATGCTGCAATGAACATGGTTGTGCTGATGACTTTACTGTAACCTAATCTGTAATCTTTTGGATAAATGCCCAGCAGTAGGATTGCTGGGTCATAAAGAACCTCCATACTGCTTTCCAGAGTGATTGAACAAGTTTACATTCCCACCAACAGTGTAGTAGTGTTCCCTTTAGGCCATATCCCTTCAAGTATTTGTTACTGTTATTTTTCTTGATGATGGTCCTTCTAACTAGGGTGTTGTTTTGATTTTCATTTCTTTTTTTAATCTATTGTCTATTCTGATTTCTTGTTCTGAGAAGTCTCTAAGTCTTTAGTCCACTTATTAATTCACCCATCATTTTTGTTCTACCTTTCATAAACAAGTCACAACATGAAATATTTAGCTTTTTGGGCATGGCTTACCTTGCTCCATATTTTCTCACTAATGATGTAAATTAATTTTTATGGCTCAGCAACAGTCCATGGCATGTATTATGTATGCATGTACATGCATATATATGTACACACATAACTGTGTTTATATATTCATATGCATATATATTCACCTGATTTTTTTCAGTAACTACAGCTCCATAGTTAGATGCTTATGTATCATATAAGCCTTGCTATTGTAGACTTAGAGTGATTGGTAACTGAGCTAAAGATCATGTGTGTCACATCTGGGCACCAATGGCTCACACCTGTAATCCTAGCTACTCAAGAGGCTGAGATCTGAGGATTGCAGTTCAAAGCCAGACCAGGCAGGAAAGTCCGTGAGACTCTTATCTCCAATAAACCACCAGAAAACCGGAAGTGGCGCTGTGACTCAAGTGGTAGAGTGCTAGCCTTGAGCTGAAGAGCTGAGGGACAACACCCAGACCCAGAGTTCAAGCCCCATGACCAAAAAAAAAAAAAAAAAAGATCATGTGTGTTAAATTCTGTCTGGGTTACTCTCAGTTATATCATCTTTTCCTTTTATAAAATACAAATATTTTAACAGATTTTATAATAAACTCATCATCACACCCATAAAGTATATTTTTTAGGTTACTATATTATTAGAAATGGGTTCCTACTCCAGTTTGAAGATGGCCTGTGAGATATGGCAGTGAAGTTTTCACCTTGCTTAGCTAACCACCAATCAGGAGAAAAGTATCTAATTATCTGTTAGTTAAAATCAGTTGAGCTTTTTAGCTTCCTGTTTCCCATGGGTACAAATACCCAGCTTTTGATAGAATCCTCAGTATTATTCAAATAAGAATTGGGAGTATGATGGGGGAGTATGATGAAAAGGGAGTTAAGATTGTTCCAGATCCATTGCACTCATAAACGTGTTGAATTGATACCTCTTTCCACAACTACTTAATGATAATTAAATAAATGAATGGTAACAAATGCTAAAAAATTGACTTTTAAAAAGAAGAATACAGTTGAATCAACATACATTTAGCAGAAGAAAGTTAAGGCACTTAAAAAAAATGAATGTTTTTCTCCTTTAGATCTGGAATGATTACAGATTGCGCTGGGATCCAGTGGGGTATGATGACATTGAGACTCTCCACGTTCCAGCAGACAAGATTTGGAAGCCTGACATTGTTCTCTATAATAAGTATGGGAGTCTTATAGCCACAGTTTCTTTGCAAAGTTACATTTGGCTTACACTGACCTTTAGCAAAGGGAAGATTACTAATGATGTCTGGTTTTCTTGCAGTGCTGTTGGTGACTTCCAAGTAGAAGGCAAGACAAAAGCTCTTCTTAAATACAATGGCATGATAACCTGGACCCCACCAGCTATTTTTAAGAGTTCCTGTCCCATGGACATCACCTTTTTCCCTTTTGATCATCAAAATTGTTCCCTGAAATTTGGCTCCTGGACATATGACAAGGCTGAGATTGATCTTCTGATCATTGGATCTAAAGTAGATATGAATGACTTTTGGGAAAATAGTGAGTGGGAAATTGTGGATGCATCTGGATACAAGCATGACATCAAATATAACTGTTGTGAAGAGATATACACAGATATAACCTATTCTTTTTACATTAGGAGACTGCCTATGTTCTACACTGTTAACCTAATCATCCCCTGTCTCTTCATTTCCTTTCTAACTGTGTTGGTTTTCTACCTTCCTTCAGACTGTGGTGAAAAGGTGACACTCTGCATCTCAGTCCTGCTTTCTTTGACTGTATTTTTGCTAGTAATTACAGAGATCATCCCATCTACATCTCTTGTGATCCCATTAGTGGGTGAGTATCTACTGTTTACCATGATCTTTGTCACACTGTCCATTGCTGTGACTGTGTTTGTGCTGAACATACACTATCGTACCCCAGCAACACACACCATGCCCCAGTGGGTGAAGACGATTTTTCTCCAGCTATTTCCCCAAATCCTGTTGATGAGGAGGCCTGTGGACAAGACAAAAGGGGCAGGTTCTGATGAAGATTCCAAAGGTCTTTCCGGTAGTAGACCTGTCAAGGTCAAGCTTGCCAATCAAAAAGAGTCCAAACTTCCTAAGGAATGCTGCCATTGTCATAAGTCAAGTAAGCTTACCACCAACAAGAGAAGATTAAATCAGCAGCCTCTACAAAGGGTGATGGAAAATTTGGAACACTCACCTGACTTTGAAGATGTCATTAATAGCATTCAATTTATAGCAGACAACATGAAGAACCATAATGAGAGAAAAGAGGTAAGACATGTCATCTCTCAGCCACCAGATCACATCCCCAGGGGCCAAGATTCCCTTTAGAGTACTTAGATCTTGGGATGGAATGTTGGTTAAAGGTAGACCAGCTCCACTATCATGTGTTAAGTGTGGACTAATAAGACTCAGGGGGAAGTGGGGAGTAAAGACAGCCCAGAACAATCTCCACCAGCCCTGGTTTATGCAGGTGAAATCTGGTTTAAAGTGCACAATCAAGTCAACATTGATTATGAAATCAAGATCCCCACACAGCCACTCTACCCCACAGGATCCAGGACACAGTGACAAATAGGAGAAAAGAAAAATGGCTGCAGAACTGACTGAGCTAGGGTTTGTGGGAGAAGGTATGAGCTCCAGTGTTTAGGTAGCTCCAGTCTTCTATTCTAAAGGAATTTAGATACTGACTGAATGGGCCTTGCAGATGTGTTAAACATCCACATATTCTGCTCCTGGTGCCTTTAGCTTTCTTCATCCTCCGAAGAAACAGTTGGAGGAAACTAATCCAGTTTCTAGTGTTTGTAGATCCAATCCCACTTCTTTTATTCTAGGTGCATTTAGGTGCTGATTGAATGGGCCTTGGAGATGTTCTGCTCCTGGTTCTCTTAACCTTTCCCATCCTCCAAAGACAGAGCTTGAGAAAATCATTAGGAAACTGACTAGGGGTTATGGTATCTGAGTTTGATCTCATACTGAAGCTGCTGGTAACCACATCTCCTAGTAGAAGGTTCTTGATACCTGTTGTCTCAGAGGTAGATTGGGCATAATGTCACAAAGGGTGCATCCCAGGGTAAGAAAGTCCAAAAAAAAAGTCACTTTCATGGTGGCATTTTTTTTAACACTAGGAGAGAGTGTGGACTTACTGGTGATTTTTTTCTAGGCTGTGGCCCAGGAACTAGGTCTGAAGGTCAGGAACAAGAAAGAAACAATAAATGCAATATCTTCACACCGACAGCATTTTGAGGCCTGGAGTACTGCCTCTTCCTGTGAAGGGGCCATCAATTGTACTCTGTCTTCCATCTTCAATTCTCTGCCTCAAACCTATTCCCAAATTTGCCAAGGGGCCAGGCTCTCCCTGTGTGCAAATGACAAGTTGAGCTCTTGGAGTGTCCCCTGAAGCCTAGATAGGGCCTTTGTAACCTAGAGACTACTAGCTTACCAAAATCTTTCTCCTGCACACTTCATAACTAGCTGCATGAGGCATCAAAGGAGATGCATCTCCCTAGACAGTTTTCTCATAGGTATTACAGAAAATGTCAATGTTCATTTTTAAAAGCACAGGGAACTCTGAAAAAAAGTGTATTTGTAAACAGCATAATTCTTATGGCTTTGATTTTTACCATAGTTTTGACTTTTTGTTTGTGTTTTAGGTTGAAGATGAGTGGAAATATGTGGCCATGGTGGTAGACAGAGTATTTCTCTGGGTCTTTATAATTGTCTGTGTATTTGGAACTGCAGGCCTATTTCTACAGCCACTGCTTAGGAATGCAGCAAAATCTTAACATGTATTTCTCTTTTATCTTCAGAAACATACACTCTATTTATTTTACACTCTATTTGTTTTATATTCCTTATCATAGTAAAAGCCAAGCCCCTCATCTTCTGAAACTGAAGTCAAAATGGGAAAAGAAGAGTATGTCACAAATATAGGAGTCCAAGTATCTTTCTTCATAGTACGGGGACTATGTTAAGATGGTACAGGCTAGCCGGGTGCCGGTGGCTCAAGCCTGTAATCCTAGCTACTCAGGAGACTGAGATCTGAGGATTGCAGTTCAAAGCCAGCCCATGCAGGAAAGTCTATGAAACTCTTATCTTCAATAAACCACCCAGAAAACCAGAAGTGGTGCAGTGGCTCAAGTGGTAGAGCACTCACCTTGAGCTGAAGAGCTGAGGGATAGCATTCAGGCCCAAAGTTCAAGCCCCATGTCAGGTCCAGTGTGTATATGTTTGGCTTCCAAGGGCATTATACAGCTTTATGATGAATGCCCCATTATGCAGCCAGACCTTGTAACTAATATCAGCCCATCCTGAGAAGAGATCCTGTCTTAACTCCAGCTCCTCATAATGATTGTAATAGCACATGAAATGTGAAAGTCTTGCTGAATTTGCAGCACTCATTAAATATTAAAGTCTTGTTTTCTCATGCTTGTCTCTGAGGTATTCATGCCTTTTAGCATTGTTTGATACATTAATTGGTTAAAGGTTACTAGATAGTCCTTTTTATTTTTCTTTTTATTGTTTTTATTTCTTTATTGCTATTTATTTTTCTTTATATTGTTATTATAAAAGGTGATGTACAGAGGGCTTACAATTACATAATTCAGGTAATAAGTACATTTGTTTTTGGACAATGTCTCACCCTCTCCCTTCTGTCCTTACCCACAGTTGTGTAATTCACATTCAACATATTGAATACCACTGCTGCATTTGTTTGTTTTGTTTTTCTGTCAGTCGTGGGGGCTGGGCCTGGGCGCTGTCCCTCAGCTCTTCAGCTCAAGGCTAGCGCCCTATCGCTTGAGCCACAGCATCACTTCCTGCTTTTTCTGTTTATGTGGTGCTGAGGAATCAAACCCAGGGCCTCATGCATGCCAGGCAAGCACTCTACCACTGAGCCACCTTCCCAACCCCACTGTTGCATTTGTTCAACCTTTGTCCCTCTATTTCTGCACACCCCTTACCTCCCAAAGACAGATAAATGAACAAACAAGACAAAAAGAAAACAAAACAAAAACAACAAAAAAGAAAACAACCTCTTGTTTTCATTTCCTGGAGTTCATTTCTATACATATTATTTTATATGATGAGAAGCCTATAGATGTTGCACCTTTGTTTTCCTCCACTAAAAGAATCCTCCCTTGGTTTCACTGTGTGTGAATGCCTAAAGTCCTGTATAATTTATCTTGTCCTGTTGTATTTTAGATCTAGTGTCTTCATAGGAGAGAAAACATGTGCCATTTGTCTCTTTGAGCTTGGCTTACCTCATTTAACATGATTTGCTCTGGGTCCATCCATTTCCCTAAAAATGACATAATTTTATTCTTTCTAATAGCTGTGTAAAGTTCCATTGTGTGTGGGCACCATATTTTTTTTAGGTATAACTTGGCTATCATGAATAGTGCAGCAATAGACATGAATGTACAAGTGTCTTTACAGAATCTTACTTAATAGGCCAAATTCAATATTTGTGTTAGTTTATTTTTACTATGATAAAATGCCTAAGATAATTGACTTATAAGACAGAAGGATTGGGCTGGAAAGGTGGCTCAGTGGTAGAGCGCTTGCCTTGGATGCATGAGGCCCTGGGTTCGATTCCTCAGCACCACATAAGCAGGAAAAAAAGCCGAAGCGGAGCTGTGGCTCAAGTGGTAGAGTGCTAGCCTTGAGCTGAAGAGCTGAGGGACAGCGCCCAGGCCCAGAGTTCAGGCCCCACAACTGGACCCCCCCCCCCAAAAAAAAAGAAGGATATCCATTGTTCATGGTTCTAGAGACTCAGTACATGGTTACTTAGACCATTGCCTCTGGGCTGTAGAAAGGCAGGACATGAGCTGAAGAATTGGTGGAGGACACCTATTCATCTGGCAAGAGTCACAGCAACAGAGAAGCAGAGCCCATAAAGTGACTAGAGCCAGCAAAGTGTTTTTCTCATTAATAACTTCCATTTGCTCATTGCACTGAGACTAAAAATAATTTCTTCCATAAGAAGGACCATTTATTTTCTGAGAGGAAGAAGAACCTCGAGAATTCTGTTGTTCTCCATTCTAATTATCTTGTTTTATAAATATTATTACAGCAAATTCTTTTGTCAGAACTGGGGTTTGAACTCAGGGCCAGGTTGCTCTCCCTTAGCTTCATTTGTTCAAGGTTGGCAATCTACCACTTGAGTCCCAACTCCACTTTCAGTTTTACTTGGTTAACTGGAGATAAGAGTCTCACGGACTTTTCTGCCCTGGCTCACTTTGAACCATGACCCTCAGGTCTGTCTCTTGAATAGCTAGAATTACAGTCAAAAGCCATTGCACATAGCCCAATGCTGTTTCCTTAAAATAATATCATCGACGTTTCTCCATGCTATCACACAGATTTAAAGTGTTGTTTTAAACACAGATATTTTTATGGTCACTATGCTGATACACTCTAATTTTATTATCACAGTGTAAACTCTTCTTTGCTTCTTTTCTACTGAAGCACAAGACACTCTGTGTATTCCAGGCAGAGGTCTTGAGTGTTAATTACTCAGTTTTGAAGTATATTTAGTGCCTATAGTTGTGATTATCGTACCTATTTGTATCTTTAAATAGTCAAAGAAGAATGACAACAAATTCAATTAGTATATATGAATTTGTCTTTATGTACAATTTTTCCACAGGCAGCACTTCACTTAATGAGTGTCTTGATAAGCTGAGCAGAGTAGTTTGGTTTTATAGACAGAAAAGTTTTGAGGAAAGCAGAAACATAGACCAAAGGGCCATGGTCAAGTTTAAAGCAGAAGGGAATTCCTTATCACACCAGCTAAAACTGCACAGCTGAAAGTAATTTTGCCATTAAGTTAACTTCATTAGAAATGTTTTCATTGTGATAAAATACACATAACATTTACTAATTTAACTATTTTTGGTACACGAGAGAATGTTATGTGAGTAACATGTTGTACAGCTGGCAGCAGCATCCATTTCCAGAACACTTTTTTTTTTTTCTTGTCCTGGGGCTTGAACTCAGGGTCTGGGCTTTGTCCCTGAGCCTCCCTGTGCTCAGGGCTAGCACTCTATTACTTAAGCACCACTTCCAGCTTTTTCTGAGTAGTTGATTGGACATAAGAGTCTGATGGACTTTCCTTCCCTGGCTTGCTTCAAACCTAGGATTACAGGTATGAGCCGATTCTGAAGTGCCCAGCTTCAGAACACTGTTTGTCTTATGAAACAATCTGTATCAGACGCCTCACAGCTCTTATTCCCTGCAGTTCTACTATGTGTGTCCATGAATTTCACTGCACCTCATACAAATAAATAATATATCATTGTCTTTTTGTGACGGGCTTAATTCACTTAACATATGCCTCCATCCATACTGGTAGCATGTGTCAAAATTCCTTCTCTCTTTAAGGATGAGTACTATTCCACTATATTTATAAACCACATTTACATGTCTACTCATCTGTCAGCAGATAACTTGGATTGCTTCTGTCTTTTGGCTATTGTGAATAATGCTTCTTTGAGGTCCTCAAGGCCCTGCTTTTTGGTACATTGCCAGAAGTAGAACTGAAAAATGGTTATTCTATGTAATTTGTATGGGGAGAATGTGTGGGAGAAGGTGTGGTACTGGGGCTTGAACTCAGGGCCTGGGTTCCTTAGCCTTTCATTTAAGGCTGATACTCTAACACTTGAACCACAGCTCTACTTTCAACTTTCTGGTGGTTAACTAGAGATAAGAATTTCATGGACTTTCCTGTCCAGGCTGATTTTGAATCATGATCCTCAGAACTCAGCCTCCTAAATAGTTATAGGTATAAGGCACAAGTGCCCAGCTAGTTATAACTTTTTAAAAATATCATTTCATATACATTTATTTTTAATATTTGCCTAACAATCTAACAATTATGTCTTCACTTCCACCATGTCAGTGATCAAAATCATATATAAGTACATATATAAATCATATATAAGTATATATATAAAAATGTCATTCTGTAAAATCCTTTGTTATTTTTATACATCTAGTTTTTAGCTAGATGAACCCAGAACTTCATGTATAATAGCAAAAATGCATGATTTGGGTTAAAAAAATGTTCTTTCTTTTGCAGCAAGCCCAGAGTTCAGTAAAGCTGGCATTTTCATTCACAATAGCCAATATTTAGTCACAGGATCTGCTCTGGGAAGCCACAGAATACAAACATGTATTGTACCTTAAATTATATATTAAATCATAATTTGTTATGTTTTTCTCAGAGCATTTTTGTTTTGTGTACAGTCCAATCTTTTAACATTTAAGTGTACAAAGTGGTGGATGCTTTCATCTACATCTCTTTAGGTACAGTTGTTAGTAGGACTTGTAAAATTGGAATTGTGAGCTCTTATTTTTAAAAATGTATTTTATTGTAGAGGTGATGTTCAGGGGAGTTACCATTTCATAAGTCAAGTAATGAGTATATTTCTTTTGTTGTTGTTGTTGTAAATGTTATGTACAAAGGGATTGCAGGTAATGAGTACATTTCTTTTTCAACAGTGTCACTCTCTCATTTTCTTCCAGTGTTTTCACTCCCTATTGCCCTTCCCCACAAGTTGTATAGTTCATCTTCAACATAGTGTCTAGTGGGTATCACTGCTGCATTAGTTTACCCTTTGTACCACCATTTCTGTGCTACTCCTTACCCACCCCAAATTAGATGAACTTACATACATGATGAAAGGTACAGAAATAAAAACAGCGACTACAGGGGGAAAACAGAAAAAAAGAAAAAAACCACAAACAGTAAAAAAAAAAAAACTTCTTGTTTCCAATATTTGGA